AGGGAAAGCTGTGTGTGTGTGTGGAGGGGCAGGAGGTATATGGGAACTCTCTATACTTTCTGCTCACTTTTGCTGTGAACCTAAAACTACTCAAAAACATAAAGTCTATTTTTAAAAAAAGGTATATTGACATTTTAGTTGGTTTTTAGTGTCTGGTCTGAAGTTCTACTTGTAAAGAAATTATCATAATTAAATTGAATATGTAGTGCTTTTACTCTTCATTTTAAAGATAACTAAGAAAAGGGAAGTGATCTGAATACAGCTGGAACACTTCTGAAACTGTTTCAGAGCTTCTCTTTATACAAATTCTTACATTTTGGGAATGAGAGTCACTAGATAGGGGTAACGTGCATACTTGTTAAATGTACTTAACAGTTTAAAAACAGAACGGAAATTTGACAACTAGAAAAGATACTTGGAAAACATTTGGTCAAACCCCTCGTCTTATAAATAAAGAAGCTGAGGCTCAGAGAAGTTACGTGATTTGTCCTGGATCACAAGGCTATTTGACAGAAGGACTAGAATTTTGGGATTCAAAAGTTTAATGGTCACTTTTCCATTATACTGCTATCATTCAAGAAAACAGAATTATGATAAATTTCTTAAAATTCAGAGATGATTAATTTTTCTTCTTTCACTTATTTATTTTTTAAGAGGACATGAATCTAATTAGTATATTTATTTAGCTGATAAGCACTCACTCAAGCACTGCCCATTTACTCATTTATTCTGCCAGCGTGATTTTTCCCAGAGGTCGTTTAAAAAGAAAATCATGTTTTAAGAATTCTAATAGCCCAAGAAAATGTTTCACCCTGAAAGTGAATATAAAACATACGTATTTATTACTAAAGCAAAGGCTATGTATGTTCCCCACCCCACCACTGTTAGTGAGAATTTAGAAAGTTGCTCGACCTCTTACAGAGGTAAAAATCCACCCTTGGTGGGAGCAGCTGTGACTCTGTGAAAAAAGCTACAAATAACATGCTGGGAAATTCAGCAGGCACTGTTATTATATCCTGTTTATACTGTCATTTTTCCTATCAGTAGGATATTATTTATACAGACCCCACCCATGAACTTCTTGTTTATCTTATTATAGAAATCCTCCAAATCTATAAAAAGAAGCCTCTGTATTTTGTTTCCGGAACAAGCCCATGTGTTATAATTTTGCACCTCACTACACATTTTTATTTAGCATTTCCTTTTGTTATGCACCACTCATTCTCATTTTTATCCCAAGGTTGATTTATTTCATTATTTCACATATTACAGTTAAACTTAACTGACTTTAAGAGACTCCAATACAGGACAGATTCCAGAGCACCATATCCTAAACTTTATTTTGGGGTAGATTTCATCAGGTAGACATTCTTTTAAGATACACGTGATTAATTTGTTTAGACAGAAAAATGTGCCTATATATTAATCAGGTACCCCAAGGAGTGAGCCCTGGGCACCTGGGAGGCTTCCTCACTCGGGCCACTCTATCTCAGGTGGGCCAATTACGAGGGCCAAGCTTCATACTGATTCTCACTAACTCACCATTCTCTAGCCGGATGCCTTTTCTGGAATGAAAATCACTGCCCCTGAGTTTAGTTTGATGGCTAGACAGGCTGGGTGAAAATGTAACACAGTAATACATGAGAAATACATGAATTCAGTTAGTTGACCAAAGGGACAATGAACCAATATGGTTATAAATCATCCTCATTCCCCTGCCTTATGTAAATAATTGAATTAAAGTAGATAAAAGAAAAATACAAATTTCTTAAGGGCAGGAATTAATGCTGCATTTGTTGAGCAAATTAATATTTCTAGAGGGGGAACACCACTGGACAAAGTCATACTGGATAAATTTTCACATGTGTAGCTTGTGTTAGCTTCACCAATACTCCCTTTCTAGGTAAACATGAGATCTTCAGAGAGTATGTGCAATGCTAGACTCTTTGAGCATGTCTAAGAAAGATCTCTGCTTTTAAAGAATACTACTATAAAATGCAGAATTGAAATGAGGTTTAATATCTCAGGGTGGTAAACTAAGTGTATTAATTTCAGAAAAAAGAGAGGTCTACATGGGCTAAAGTGATCAAAGAAGTCAGAATGAGGATAATAACTGAGGTAATGTTGATAAACAGGAACTGATAAGACCAAGGTGAGGAGGTGAAGGTACCATAGGCACAATCAACGATTTATTAGCATCCAGGTGAGCAGAATACTAAAAACGGCACATAGCTGAATCCAGCTAGGGTTTATACTGAATAGGAGATGGATATAAAGAGAAGACTGGAGTAGATTATAAAGAGTTTCATTTTCTAGACAATGGAGAACCATTAAAGATATCTGATCAAGGGGAAATGAACCAGCTTTTGGACTAGGAATGAAGAGGAGGAAGAATAAGTTGGGGTGAGGCAGAAATGGGGGTAAGAAGTTTTAACAGTACCAAATCTTACGATTACAGTGGCAAAAGAAAAGTCCATGTTATAACAGATAATACCTGTGTAAAAATGTCAACCCTTGCTTTCAAAAACAGGAGATGGCATCATGATGACTGTCACTGACTGGGGCAATGTTAAACAGTGCCAATCTATTGAAATCAGCATTAGGAAAGCTTACCAGTCTCCTAGAACTGCACTTCTCACACCCAGATCACCTGGAGATCTGGTTAAAATGTAAATTCTGATTCACTAGGTATAGCATGATACTCTGTATCTTTACATTTCTAATAAGCCTCCAATACTGCTGTCCCATGGACTACATTTTGATTAGCAAGATGCTAAAATATCTTTTAATTTCCCTTTCCAAAAGGCAGTACTGGGGAGAAAGGATACATGTATATGTATGGCTGAGTCCTTTTGCTGTACACCTGAAACTATCACAACATTGTTAATTGGCTATACTCCAGTATAAAATAAGTTTTAAAAAACTTAAGGAAAAATATTGAATAGAAAAAACAAAACAAACAAACAAAACCCCCAAAAAGGCAGGATTTGATGACTGGTATAACTAATGCTTTAGATATGGCTAAGAAATTCCTTCTAAAGGTATTTTATTATAATTTGCATCAATGTCTGATGGGTTTCAAAAGATATTATTTAAAAAGTCCAAGATGATTCAAGATTCAGGGTATTCAAGACATTCAGAAATATTTCCACTTGGGCAAAATCAACTTTATAATGCTGTCTATAACAGTACAATTTTGTCTTTTTTTTTTTTTTTTTTTTTAAGGCTGACAAGCTAGAAGATACTATTGCTACTAATCTTGGGGGCTGAAATAAAAGTTCTGAAAGACAACGCTCCATCTTTCCATAGTGCACATCAGTGGGTTTTGGTAAAACCCACTTAACTTGCCCTTACAATGCCCTTAGCACCATGCCTTAATCCTTGAAGATAAAGGTAACAATTTATTTTAAATATCCTACTGAAAAACAACTGAAGATTATAAAAATTAAATTCACGCACTGTCCTTTTGTTTAAGATTTCCAGGCGAAGGGACATGCCTTTAATTAATTTTTTTTTTTTTACCACGAACGGAAGTGTCATTTTTAAAAATACATTACTAGTGTAATATGTTACACACATATTAAGATTGGCTGACCTTAGATTCTTGGGGTGAAATTTAAGACTTCTGAAATCTCAAGTTTCATTTTTAACCAAATAAATGGTCAATAACAACCTTTTAGGTAAATGAGCTTCAATATGTATCAATGTCTAGAGAAGAGAAATAGTATCTTAAAATTGGAAGGTACTGTTAAAGATCAGATCCAACTATATCATTGTAGAAGTAAGAAACTGAGGTGCAGAGGCTAAAAAGCCCAAAGTCACAGAGCTGCTAGTGGCATGTTAAAAAAAGGAAGGGGAGGAACAAATTAATTTTCATATCCATCAATATATAACACACAACAATGTATCAACTACAACATGTAGTTGAAAGAGTTTCTGGTTCCTCTCATGACTAAGACATAGTTGATTTTATTAAGGTCTTATAAATCACTGATATCCAAGAAAGGAAGACTACAGACCAACAAAGAAAACACATGCTACCCCAAAATTCAAGAACTCCATAAAAAATGCAATCTGAATAGAGAATGACACATATACACCACATACTCAGGATGGGGCTGCGGTGGGGTGGGTAATGGGATGGGATATAAAAAACAAAGAGAAGACACTGGTAATTCTTATCTTCTCAGTAATGCTTTGAGGAAAGCTTTCACATACAGAAAAGTGGTTGAAAAAACACAACTTCCTTTACTCTCATGAATCATTTTTTAATTGGTAAAATCGGGGATTGGATTTGGAGGACTGTGAAGCTTTTAAAAATATGAAATGTAGATAGCAGTTGGATGTGCATGTGTCATAAGCTCTGTCACAATTACAAGAAAACCAGAGAATCCTTTTTTAGCCATAAAATAGGGAATTTTGTGCTTATTACAAATGCTGTAAAATTTACTAGCACAAGTAAAAAAAGTCACTGGAGAAGTTCCAAGATGTCGGAGACAATGGGTTTTAAATCACAGGCATACATTATTATGCCTAAGCTGACAGATCTGCACTGCAATGCAGAAATGCAAGCAATATTCCAACATCTGCACCAGAAGGCAGAGACTAGACAAGATTCCAGAATAAAGGGCTCTTCAGCTCTTACCTGTTACCTGTGCAACAACTGCTTGGGAAATCCTCCGATTGGCAAGAAAGGCTTTGATTTCCTCTTTTATCACACTGCTGTCCCTCCTAACAAAAACAGAAGACAAGACCAACAATGTATGTTGAAGGTAGAAATCCTCATCTTTGCTAAGAAAGGTGAAGCAGAGAGGTGGGGAGAACACAGAAAGAAAGGACACAAAAATAAGGTAAACAGACCAAGCTTGTGTGAAAATATGAAATTAGAACAAACCAAGAAACACCAAATATTCAAGTCCTAAAACATCACACCATCAGACAGACGCTTTAGTGAATGCCACAGTAGATATAAGTCTCATACCAGAGGACGGTTAATCGCATGCTCTTTATAATTCACATTAGGAACAAGGCTGCCATATGGTATATACAAAGTTTCATTACTGGGTAATGAATATATCTTACAGAGACAGAAATCCTAGAAAAATAAAAAGCAACAACAACAACAAAAATCAGTTGTGAGTAGATTGTGGTTTCGCATGTTAACTATGCAACTGCATAAATAATGTTCAGTTCATTTGAAAACCTTTGTTAAAGGAATAGAAATCATCATTCTCACAACTGCTAAAATATTAGCCACTTTAAGAAGGCTCTGCCTTTTAATTTGCCTTCTTTGTCCTGAATAAACCAAACAAATTTTAAGCAGGATGGGTTGAATATAAAATTTTAATATAAAAGACATTAATTTCCTAGTACATGTAATATACAGAATGCTTAATACTACACTATATTTTGTGTCCTTGGGATTACATATTATAGACCTAATTTTTCCTTCACTAGATGCCTTATAAATTTTTACTTATTTAAAAATTCAACAAATTCTCAAAAGACTAGACATTCACTAGAATGACAATGAATGGCAAGACTTCTGTTTCTCCACCAGAACAGAATACTTCAGTAAAAATTATATTTAAAGCCTTAAAGACCAATTTCTCTTTGAATGTTCAAAAGGATTACATAAATGGATTTTCATTCAAGCTCAAAAGTAACAGAAGAGTGGCAATTTATGGTCTAACACGGGGTCAGCAACTATGGCCCATGGACTAATCTGGCCTCCCACCTGTTTTTATACAACCTATGAGCTAAGAATAGTTTTCACAGATGAACATTCACAATCAATTTGAGGACAGGGAATACTAACTTTGAACATGAAGTAAGCAAAATATTATCCTCTCCCCACCAAAAAATTCCATTCTTCTCATTAGTAGGCCTGTATTTTAAAAATTGTATTCAATTATTAATTATTCTATATTGAATTTTGCAAATAAAAATTTGTGACCATTTGCTTTCTCTCTTGTATGTAAGTATCTATATTATATCGACTTTGCCTCTTGGCCACGAAGTCTAAAATGTTTTCCATCTAACCCTTTACAGAAAAAGTTTGTGAACCCCTGATCTGAGACAAAGGGATCGTGACATCTTTACAAATCATTTTGTGAATGATCCACAGACTCCTTATAGGAGCTCAAGTCTCTCTACAGATTTGGAACAAGGAAAGAAAGTATCCTATCCCCTAAGAATCAGCTGTGATTCACTCAGAGCAGATTTGCAGTCCTTTGCTGAGGAGGAGCTGTACATTCTGTTGGTGAATTCCATGCTCCCTTTCAGGAATTCTGGAAAAGAGCAGAGAAGTGATAGTAGGGACAGCTTCCAACCTAGAGCTCCAGTCTACTCCTCATCTACTGGCTGGAAATCCTAATCAAAAAGATTCCCAAAGGAAGAAAATAAAGAGGCCACTGCCTAATCCAGTATTTGAAATTTCTCATACTGATCTAGATACTCCCTAGATTCCTTCCACAATGCTTATTTATATTTGAAATATTTCTTTGAAAAGTATCATTCTCATTTAAAAATTATGTATCTGAAAGAAAAAGGCACAAAGAAATACATTGTAATGTCAAACAAAATAACTGTCTACATTATCATATGGCTGTCAAATACCCATCAACAATCAGTAGCGCAAGATAAACTTCAGCAGTATCTATTTCAATTGGCTTAGGTAAATAAAACAACATAATCATTTGGTTTCTGATACAGATGCCAAATTAACCTGAAAAAATTTAAATAAAGCATTGCATTTCAATGTATAGAATGTCCCTCTGGGAAAATGAAAACTGAGTTTAAGAGACTATCTATTAAGGTTAAATAAAAATGTGCTTCTGTGGGGAAAATGATTAAATGGTATTTTCTTGATTACTGATTTAAATTGGAATTTAAATCAATTTATTTAAAATCAATTTCACCTAGAGACTAAGTCACAAAGAGGAGATAACACTCAATTATTCCAGTAGGGCATATCCGGTTTGTGAATTATTCACAGCCCTGCAGTATGATATTACCAAGGACTGCAGCAAGACAGAAGGAACCCCAAAAAGTCTGCAAGAGAGCAGCAGTTCACTTACCCTCTCTCAGAGACTATATTTTTAGATCCTTGGCAAGTTTCTAAGCACCCGCAATGAGTTTTAAAAAAAACCAAAAAACCGCTTTACTCAACTGCTTTACCAGAGAGAAGCTTTTTCAAGTTGAAGAAAAACATAAAACTTAAAAGATAAGAGTGTGCTTGGGCAAGTCATTTAATAAAGCTGGTTGCATCATCTGGTAAAATGAGAACATTAATACCCCCCACCACAAGCCTTTTAAGATTTTCCTACAAGCAGTGAAATTAAATTTAAACCAAGTTTAATATCAAATGTGTGTGTGTATATAGTATAAAAAAATTTTAAATTCTTCGATGTAAAACTTTTTGAAACTGTAAAAGCACTACATAAACAATTATTATTATTTTATAATACCCTGGAAAGAATCCCAGGAAAAGAATAAACAAACGATCTGCTCTAAGTATGTAAGACTGAAGTAAACATCTGCATTGGGTATTTTAAAGCACCATGAAAAGACTTCTGTACAGTCAATTTAGATACAAGTGTTGTGTCATTTGGTTGGTTACACTAGGTATTTTCAAAATAGTAACAGCATTTAACTTTCACTGTGTCCAGTTCTCTTATGTATTTCAAAAACTTCCATTCTACTGGGTTAAATTTGTTCTTTAAACTTTCACATATTCCCCCTCACTCATTCCACCTTCTTTAACGACCTGCCTCTCCTAATGTTGTCCACACCCTACCCTGTGAAGTCACCAATTTCCTGGTGTGAAAACTCCTTCATTGACTCCAAACCTAACTCTTTCATCTACTCCTTACTTCCTCTCTTCATCTAAAATTTGACATCTTTAAGGAGAATGAATCCACTTTTCCTCCCTTATCTTATAAAATCTCACACTTCTCATGATTTCTACTCCTCCAGCCTTATGGAATAAAAGTGAAGTGCAGGCTGATCTTTCTTTGACTCTACAGTTTATTTCCAAGATAAGCTACCACTCTATTTGTATCTAACCACTTACATACACTCAGTAATGCCTCTTTGTGAAATTACCCTTTTTAAAGACATCTTAAAATAATAATAATTGCCACCTATTCAGAGAAGTTCTCCCTGAGCCTCAGAGCTAAAAAAGATCTTTTCTTCCAATAACTAACTTTACCATTTTGTTTATACTACTCACATGTGAATATATTACATGCTATTCTGTATTATAGTTGCTCCTGATCTGGTCTTATCTCTCCTACTAGCCTACAAAGTCCTTTAGCACAAAGATTGTGTCTTATTCATCATGGGGTTTGCATATAATAGAGCTTAATTTGTTCCATGAATGAACAAATCTGTAGTTGAAGATAAAAGGTTGTAAAATGGAAAACCTGATCTAGATAATTTATAAAACCGCTCTAAATTCTTAATATCAAATATGTTTAAGCTTCCCAAAACAGAATGGAAGAGAGTTATGTATACAAGCTCAAAACGGTAATATTTCCTTTTCCGGAACAAAGGCTATTAAAGACTGAATGTTTAAAAGTGGTACACTTTAAGATCTTCCATATTCTCTTAGTTGATATACACTACACATTCTGTAGGACCCTTTAAAGTAGACATCTATCTCAAAGACTTCCAGAGATGGAGCAATACCTACCAAGACAGACTATTTCACAGGTGGGAAAATATAATTACACACAAATTCTTTCACATACGAATAAAAACCTTCTCACTTTAATTTCTACTCATGGAGATAAAGCATAATTTTAAAAGATAATGTTAAAACAAAAGCTATTCTATCTGTGTGAACAACATGGTAACTGATTATTATGTCTTATAGAACATAAATCCCTACCTACACAAGTAAATAAGCTATTATTAGGCATATGGATAACCAACTCAGAAGAAAGTCTCAGGATCCTAGATAACATACTAAACACTCATGAAATTTAGTACGTGGGTAGTTAGGAATAATATCTTTTATATGACATTGCTTATTAATTCTGATTAAGCCTCATTTCAATTGTTATTTTATATATACACAATAGGACAGATACACTTTAATAGGTACACACTATTATATTAGCAGATGTACATATACACCTATATATAAACATATATATTAACAGATGCTTTTAAAAAATATTAACATGGAAAATCGGTCTTTATTCTAGCTCCTGGCTTTAAAGTCCTTCCTAAAATGTTATATTCAACAATTTGCTGAGAATTCACATTCTAGTTTCCCTTTCATTTTTTTTAACCCTGATCAATCCAAAAATGGAAAAAGTAGCATTTACTCTCTTTCTGATTCTTAACAAGCTAATTAGGTATACAGTTACAAATTAATCAAGTTTTACAAAAAAAAAAAAAAAAAGCCTCCTTTGTATACCTTGAAATTATTAGGGGTTAAGTTCGTGGACCCAGTGGATTATGAAATTTGAAAGCTCCATCTTACAGCTGAGTGCTCTGGAGGTTGGGGAATGTAAGCATACAAGAGGTGAATTACATATGACACATGTAGAAAAGGAGGCAGGAAGGCATTCAGGGATCTATTCTCCCCACCTAGAGACCACCAAATCCAACCCACTATACCACCACAGTGTTGAGTGGGCAAAGGGCAGTGTAGCCCTATGTGGGCACAGGGTACTCAGAAAGATTCACTACCCAAAACTTTCTCTAACATTCTACCAAATAAAAACTCATTAGGCTAGTTAAGTGATTGATTTGACGTGGCAAATATCACGTGGGGGAAGAGTGGGGGATAAGTCCATTATGGCTTTCACACTTTGTCTTGAGTTACATTAACCACCATTCCTAAAATTTTACTGAAATCTACACACATGAAAAATTTATTTACAGAGGCAACAGATACCAGCGACAGACACACTGGTAATAAAGACATGGGTTAGAATTCAGCTCTGCCACTTAATATTTAAGTTTTCTTGGGTCAATTACTTAATTTTTGTGAATCTCAATTTCTCTGCTCTACCTCACACACAGCACGGTTGTAATGATTAAAAGTGAAACCAGTCATGTAATCAACTTCTCCCTCAAACCTAAGGATTGGTACTATTTGCAAACTTGAGAAAAACAAGAGGTGGGCACAAAGTTAGAGAGATGTGGGTGAGGGCACAATGGCAGAGGACCAGAGAGCCAGAAGGTTCAACGAGACCACTACATGAGTAGAGGACACCACAGGAGCAGTTCTAAGAAAGAAGTCATAAAGTATCCTACCTATGCAACAAGGTAGGATGTATGTAAATTAAATACTGATAAGTTATAAACACATATATATCTAATGATGACACTTGAATGTGTGTAATTGCTGGATTTAACTACAAACCCTAGTCCTGGCTAAACAGGTTTTCTGTTTATTTTGAGGACACAGTTGAACTACAACATTATGATAACCTTAGAGTTAATAGTCAATTTTTTAGATCGTTATAGTCAAGTTTTAGACTCTGGACAATCTTCCAGAGACTTTTGTTAAAAAGAAAGTTTTCCCAAATTTCTTGTTAGGCTAACACACATTTGGGAACTAACTATTATTTTTAAAGCTCATTCAAACTGATTAACGACAGCAACAACAACAAGAAACAGGCTAGCATTCTAACATATTTTATTGTTGATACCCACTCTACTAGCATAATTAAAAGCTAACCTTCTTACATTTTAACTACTAAAGTAACTTCTATTTGCCCAAATGGTCCTCTCTCTTAATCTTGACAGTGATATAGATGTTAAATTCAAAAGGAACATCTAAACTTTGGCCAGCTGTTTAAGCAAGTGAAAATGAATTAAAAGCCAAGCCGATCTTTTATATTTTTAAGTTTCACAAAGCTTAAATAATAGGGTCCTGTAGCTGCTCTATGAAACTATTCATTACAGGAATTACGTTGAAATCTATTGGATTGGCCAAAAAGTTCGTTCAGTTTTAAGTAAAAATAAAAGATATTTTTCATTTCCACCAAAAACTTTATTGAACAACATATTCATTAACCAAACTAACTTTTTGGCTGACACAATAGATACAATAGTCCATTTAGCCCAGAATTCCCTATATGGCAGTTCCACCCTAAAAATAAATTCAGGACAGTTTGTTCAAAAGATATTTTACCTTTGGGGTACTATAGGATAGATGTTCCATATGGCAGTATTAAGTCACCATTATACTATCTTCAAGTCCTAAAGTCTTACAGAAGAACTACAACTCATAATTATAGGTTATAATTTTATTTGACAAATTCCTGCTACGGTTTCTTTCATATATACTGTAACTAATCTACCTACAGGCTCTCCTCTCTACTATAGTAGCGATAATCTACTGAAAACAATGCTTTTATCAACTCTTTCCTACAGACCTGTAAGAACTCCTTTAATTTCCACCAAGTTAAACATAAATTATGTATATGGAATTCAAATCTTCCCCAAATCTGTACTGCCTCTTAATATACTATTCTTATTACCATATCTAGCCAATCTGCAGTTTTTATAAGACTAATCATGTCTTGCCTTTTCTGTTACCATTCCCTTAACTTTAAATAAAGCTCCTATATTTCAAAACAGAAGCTATCCTTTAAAGCTTAGCTCAAATTCATCCATTCAGTTGACATATTAAGCTCTTAACATGTGCCAAGGACAGTTCTAGATCCTGGAGACACAACCATGGAAAGCACATCAGTGCTGCCCTCAAAATGTGCCAGGTCCAGGGTGAAGCCTTTCCTAATCACCTCTGTTGAAACTGGACTTCTTTTCTCAGTGTTTCAAACTCTAAGTGTTTACACTTATTTTGTAATAGATAACATTAAATTTGTGTGTGTGTGTGTGTGTGTGTGTGTGTGTGTGTGTGTGTGTGTGTGTGTGTATGGCATCTATTGCTAAAATTAGAACTTTAGCTTCTTAGGGGTAGAAACCACATCTATTTTTCTGCTTAAGAACATTGCTTTTTAAATAGATGCTCAAAATTATTTTGTTGATTGGCATGTTGGAGGGAAAAATTAAGAGTATACATATCATGATAAAGTCATCCTATCAGAACAAGTACTTACAATGGATTTAAGGATTATAATATGTTTGTTAGAAATTCAGAAAATTCAGATGTTAGCGATTAGAGCCATAAAGAGAATGCTAACCTTTGCTTTGATAACAGAGAGAATGGAAAAGACTTATCAAGCAGCAAAGAGAAAGAACTTAAGTAGAGAAGAAAATTAAATGTTTTTGAATTAAAAACATAAAAATTTTAATTTTTTTCTTTATCACTAAAGGGGGAGGAGGCATCACAGTTCTTATAGGTAAAGAGCTGAAATACAGCTTCATTATTCAAAATCAGTCTTAAGAACATAAACATTTGGAGGACTCTGAATAAGAAAGGAACTAACCTCATTAATTCCTCTACTTTATCATCTACATCTAGGTCCTCTTCTGAGGCTTCAAAACTGTATGACCTCTGACCCATGCTGTTTGCATGGTAGCGAGTTGGTGACATCTTTCCATTGGATGTGGATAATCGCTCGTTATTCTCCCTCCCATTCTGATTGGTAGTACAAGGCTGTGGGGAGGTATCATAACTGTTGCTAGGTGATGGGGACATTCCAGAATGCTGGGTCTGTGTGGAAGCTGTAGCTGTAGAGGAAGATGCTGGAACATTGTTGGTAGTATTCCCATACGAACTTCCTCCATAGCTGGGCCTTCTTCCAAACTTGTCGCTATGCTCTTGATCAAGACGGTCCAAAGTTTCCAAGGCATGAAGAATTTCATGTTTAGTCATTCCAGTACGTCGAAGGCGCTGAAGCAGATCTATCTGCTCTATGGTAAATCTGGGTTCATCTGTATAGTGAGACATGGTTTCCAGCAAACTAAAACAAAAAAAATTGTTTTTAAAGTTCCTTTATTTACAATATCTACCAAAGAATATATCATTATGTATTGAGAATGCACAGAAGATAAAATATTTCTATATCAACTTCTTTACTGAAAATGATTAAGACATTATTATTATCATAATAACAGTAATATTTTATCAGCAAAACTGACCCAGGAACTCTGTGACTTCATTTACTGTAGACAAACAGTTTGGTAAGCTTAGCCCAAGGAAATACTAATAACCAGCAAGAATATTTAAATGGAAAAGTAAGAGAGGCACACAAAAAAATTTATCAAGCACCATTTCACCCACCACTTTCCAATTTCATGAGGATTTCATCTCTGTAATGTATTCTCTTAATAGTTATCCCAAGAAACGGATCTTTCGTGGTTGTGGCCAAACTGAACTATTCATTTTTCTTAGGACATTGCTTCTCCATTATGCTTCCTTTAACTAACACAAGATACTGTAGCACACCAGAAAATGTCTCAGAGTCAATAATATTAAGTTCAAGGGAGTTGTCAAATATCATAAAAATTCTCACTACTTGAATTCCTTTCTTATAAAACCTGACTTTCTTAAGATTTTTTTAAGTGGGAATTTCTTCTATTTTTATTTTTATAGTTCTAGTGCCGAATAGGTTGCATGGCATGCGGCAGGCTCTCAGTAAGTGCCTGCTGATGGAAATAAATGTCAAAGAATTTTCTCATCCTTTCCAGGTAAATTTCTGCTCTGGGCCAGTTCCCCTAAGCTGTTGGAGATCTGTTTCTCTATCCCTCTATACTAAAAATTTATTGAACATGCACTCTAGGCAGGCATTGGGCAAGAGTTTCATGTAATATAATCTCAGTTCCTCACGACAACCCTCTGTAATTTTTTTTTAAGTTTTATATTGATTGATTGATTGTTGAGGAAACTAAGGCTCACAATGCTTTTGTAGCTTGCAAACAAGTCTGATTAAGACATAGAAAAGATTTAAACCTTACTGACTCCAAAAGCATGCATCATTCTGCTTTCCAATATATGGCAGGACTTACTGTAATCAAATGATATGGCACACAGGCTTTTGTCCTTTATTAAATCTCCAGTTTAAACCACTTAGATAAAACCTACTGATGGACTAGGGGTTCTAGTAACAGTTTTTTATATTTAAGATCTTTGCTCCATCTAGAATTTATATTTACCTAATGAGTGTGAAAGGATTTGAGCTTTATCTTTTCCCAAAAGGATAGCTCATTTGTCCAATATGTTTACTGAGTAATACATCTCTTCTCCTCTGGTCTGAAATGCCACCTTTCTCATATACAAAATTTCCACACAAATCTGTATCTACCTTTGAAGGCTCTATTCTATTGCAATGATTCCTTTGTCTTCTAAGTCCTTTTAAAAACAGCAGGCGGGACTTCCCTGGTGGCGCGGCAGTTGAGAATCCGCCTGCCAATGCAGGGGACACAGGTTCGATCCCTGGTCCGGGAAGATCCCACATGCCGCAGAGCGTATGAGCTCGTGCGCCACAACTACTGAACCTGCGCCGTAGAGCCCACACGCCATAATTACTGAAGGCCGCGTGCCTAGAGCCTGCGCACCACAACAAAGAGTAGCCCCGCTGGCAGCAACTAGAGACAGCCCAACGCAGCCAAAAATAAATAAATAAGATTTTAAAATAAATAAATAAAATTAAAATAAGCAGGCAGAAATCTATCATTTTTATGTGAAACAGTTCTAGTTTTAGAGACAGGCTCATTAAAAATAAAAACAAACATTTTGTGGACCTAAAATAACATGCTGCAGGTCATTTGTGCCCATGGGCCACAGTATCTGCCTTATACCTATAAACATTTTCTTTTGCCCTCTTCCAATATTCATTTGTGACAAGCTATTCATCATAAAAGTCCTGTTTTCATGATTATTACATTCTTTTCTGATTGCCTAGTTTTTTTCCTTCAAGGTTTTATAATGTAAAATTTTAAACACAGAGAAAAGTTGAAATAAATTTACAGTGAATGCCCATACACTAACCACCTGGATTTTACCATTAACATTTTACTTGCTTTATTACATATCCATCCATTCCTTTATGCATCCATCCCTCTATTCATCTCATCTTTTGATGCATTTCAGAATCAGTTACAGACATCTGTACACTTCCCCCTAAATACTTCCACATGTATATCATTAATTAGAGCTCAGTATCTGTTCAGGTATTTTTTCTCTTGAAGTAAAATTTAGATAAAATGAAATATGCAAATCTTATGTTTACCATCTATGAGTTCTGAGAAGTACATCCACCTGTGAAATTCAAACCCCTATGAAGTTACATAATATTACCATCACCCCAGGAAGTTCCCTCATGCCCCTTCCTGGTCAGTCCCTGTCCTCTTCCCTCAGAGGCAATCACTGCTCATGTTTTTTTCCCATGACAGATTACTTTTGTCTGTTCCAGAACCTCATCTAAATGGAACTTCTATGTACCCTTTTGTGAAAGGCTTCTTTCAGTATAAAGTTTTTGAGGTTCATCTACGATGTTGTATGTATCAGCAGTTTGTTCCTTTTTATTACTGAATAGTACATCATTGTAGGAATATACCACAGTTTTGTTTAGCCACTCTATTTCGGACACCTGGACGGCTGTCAATTATTAGCTATTCTAAATCTTTGGCAATTACAACTGTACTCTGCTAATTTTCTTGTTAGCTTCATATACCAACCCCTCCCCCACACCCCCCAATAACATACCATCAGCTAGTTGGGAGAGAGAGAGAGAAAAAAAAAAATTTCAACCAGAGTAACTCATTTACTTTTTCTCCTGATGTCAAAAGAATAGTACACCTTGCTTATTAACATAAATGCTCTATTATTAAAATGCTATGCAGTGTTGGTAATGTTCTGTTCTATGCTAGTTACATTACATAGGTACATTAGCTGTGAACATTCACCAAGTTGCACACTACTGATTTGTACATTTTTCAGTAGGTATATTACATTCAAAATTTGTTGAAAAAGCTGTGTAAACATTTTCCTAATGGCTTATAAGAGACACTTGACACTTTAGTTTCTATCTTAACCCTCAGCCCTTGGTCCTTTCTATCAAGTGCTTAGTAACACATTAATTCTTAATCCTAGGAAGTTCTTTTTAAAAGTAGCTGCCAAGGGCTTCCCTGGTGGCGCAGTGGTTGGGGATCCGCCTGCCGATGCGGGTGACGCGGGTTCGTGTCCCGGTCCGGGAGGATCCCGCGTGCCACAGAGCGGCTGGGCTCGTGAGCCATGGCCGCTGGGCCTGCGCGTCCGGAGCCTTTGCTCCATGGCGGGAGGGGCCACAGCGCTGAGAGGCCCACGTACCGCAAAAAAATTAAAAATAAAAAAATTTTTTAAAGTAGCTGCCAAATTCCTTTAGTAATCCAAATAATTTACCTCTTAACTTACTGATTTGGTAAATTCAGGTTTCTGTACATTATTCTTTTCTCTTGAAAATGGAGTTGTCCATTGCTAACTTCATGCTTTGAAGGTCTTCATACTTTCAAAATTCATCATAAACTGACCTTGTTTAGATACGAGATTTCAAGGACTGTTTTATTATACAGACAAAAAAAATCAATTATGATATTTTCCTATCCCATTTATATCAGAGCAGATAGTATTCTGTATATAATTCTTCAAACATCTCTCTGTATGGAACAGCACTGTGTTCCATACAGAGCATAAAACTAAAATAAATTATAAGAATTTAACCTGTTAACTGAAAAGTATCCATCCTAAAGCTTATATCAGAACTACCAGAACTAAAGATTCCACAGTATCTGAAGCAATGTAATATTATGTTATTTCAGATTCCTTGACTATGGGAAACATTTTTAATCCATACTCATAAAAGGAGATAACAGAAGGCACCTATTATTTTGTCTGCACAGAATGCCTCATTGTTTCCAATCACATGTTTCCAATCACATTGTTTCCAATCACATGGGGATGTCACTCAAAATACCCTACCTTCTGGTCAACAGCGTGGGCACACAAGGAAACCAAGCCTTGTTCTCAAAATATTCAGGTTAGAGTAGAAGGAAGATGGACAGTCACTGTAACTGTGCTCAGCTGTGGGAAGATGTTAGTCTGGTATATTCCTCACCATGCAGAAGAAGCTGGTTTGTAGGAAAATAAAGCAGGCATACTAAGAAATGCAGAGCAAAGGGGAAAGTTCTACAGTGTTCATATCCCTTGTTCTAGTCATTCCTAAGCCCCTACCTCATCCCTGCTCTTCTTCCCCACCAGGGATTGAACCCGTGCCCCCTACAGTGGAAGCGCAGAGTCTTAACCACTGGACCACCACGGAAGTCCACTCCTGCCCTTCTTGCTATATTGTTATGTAAGAGCATAAACTTCCCTTTATGCTTCACCTTGTTTAAATTAGATGCCTGTGCCTTGCACCAAGAGAGGTCCCTAATACAAAGATATACATAAAGTAAAAAGATCTACAATTGCTAGAATAAAATGTATGACTCCTATAGAGCAGAATGATAGTGGCATAATGAGCAGGATCAAATCATGCATATGACACTGAAGGTACAATATTTTACTGAGAAAATGCCAAGATTAGAAGATTTCTTGGATATTGAGAACAATATTCCAGTGGCATTAACATAAACAAAGGTACACATTCTGTCATTTTTGAATTTTATTTCTTATAATTCACCTAGTTGAAGCACATAATCATGAAATTATGGCTAAAATGACCTACAAAGGTCATCTAAGTCTATGATACCAGCAATTCTTTTATAACAGAAAAAGATAACATGTAAGAACTGAATTAATTTTCCTATGCAGCAGAAGAACTGTTCACAGGATAAGGAACATCTTTCACTTCAAATTACTAATCTGAATGCAGACTCAGACCAACAATAATTGAAAATGATGTGAGAAGAATTTTGACACTGTAATGACACAGACAATGTCTGAAGCATAAAAGAACAATTAAATTCAGGAATTATGCCTCAGTTCATAAACTGACATTCTAAAAGACCATACTATTAGACCATAATAGTAAACGTATTTTACAATAAATTTTACCCCTACTTGGATATGTAAACCCTTCTTGGATAAGGCCCGAGGTCCAGAACATACTCTCTTAAACTAAATCCTATAATCATGAAGGTTAAAGCATTCACAAATGATTAATCTTAAAATCATATGTGCAAAAATGACACAACTACCTTACCTGTAAATCATCAACAGATAATAAGAACTTATTGGATAACACAGCATTTTCTTCAGCTTGACTGCTGTCTTTATCTTTTTATCTAGAATGACTAGGCAAAATATGGTCTAGTCATGTATTAGTTTTGTTTGTCATACATGGTATTCATTCCATGATGATTTAACACATTATTGCATCAGTCATAATATTAACCAACTAAAGACGTACTAAGGCCCTTCTTACTATTTATGGCACATTACTCTCACAATTATTATTACCATCAAAGGAGAGGCAGTTTTAAAGTAAGAAAATGACAAGAGTGAGAATAAGTAAGAAATGAAGATTTGCTGGGGATTGAGCTTCATAGTATGGTAAAATGATTCTATAATTCAAACCAATGGCAGAACTGACTAACGCAGAGAAGAGAGACTATGACTACAGATGATAGTATAAAAATGTTCTTTTCATAATAAAAAGATTTTGAGAAAAATAAGATTATATTCAATTTACAATCATACTTTAATAGCTATTTTAAAATTAGCACTAAGGTTGAGATTTTTAAATTACAGCCACCTTATACACATTTGGGAAAATAAAATCCTAGTGTTGATAAAAACATGCAAGTTTATAGAGGGAGATATAAATTAGGTGTGCAATCAGAGAACAGGAGACCATTTAGACAAAAATCATTCAACTAACACTTATTGAGTGACCCCTGTGTGTCAGACCATGTACGAGGCAGAGAGGATGCAACAAGGAACAAATTAGGCAAAAATTCCTGCTCTCATGATGCTTAATTACATTCTAATGGCTATAGAAAATAGCCATTAACAAATAAATTGTATTTTTTAAAAAAGGGAAACTCAGGCCCAAAGCAAACACAGTGCCTTCCCTTTCCCAAGGACACAGCTACTTAGCAGCAACTCAGGCTACCGTTCACACCACCTGGCCTACTCCAGAGACTTTTCGATATATGATAAAGCCAATGAGAGAAGAAAAAAGTTTAACGAAAAACCTAAATAACAAGGAAAATCTATCTTAATGTCTACTTACTGGATTATAGAACTGTCAACCAAAACAGAAGAAATTTAATTGAAATATAGGTTGAACCAAATTTTATAAAATGCTTACGCTAAAGGCACTCTGCACTAGACTCTAAAGATGTACTTAATGAGCTAATAGATACTTTATCTTCTCTAGAATACTTTTATTCAGAGGCCTATTTAATATGAACTAGTGGTTACAGCTCATGTCCTAGCACAAAAAAAACTCTCTACATAATACCACCATCCAATTTGTATTTTTTGCCAGACTCCAAAGAAAGTCTACCAGCTACATTAGCTAATAGACTTAACTACATTATTATCCCCAGTAGGTAAAGAATACGGCTAAGGTGCTTAGTAGTTTGCATACAAAAGGCAGCATTAAGGTAGCATTCTTCCAATATTCTGCTTGTCACACGGTATTTAATACCAGCCATCTGTTTCACAAATTTCTAGGCTATTAAGCAGTTTAAAATTATATGTAATTTTATGTTCAATTGAAAATTAATGTTAGACTTCAAACTTGAAACAGAAATGGTAAAAGAGAAAGTTGATAGATTTGAAAATTCATTCCTTACCACATAACCATGAAGAAATTCTTTCAACTCTACAAATGCCTGCTGTCATTTTTGGATCATAATCATAATGATTTTTTTTAATTAATTAATTAATTTATTTTTGGCTGTGTTGGGTCTTCGTTTATGTGCGAGGGCTTTCTCCAGTTGCAGCAAGTGGGGGCCACTCTTCATCGCGGTGCGCGGGCCTCTCACTGTCGCGGCCTCTCTTGTTGCGGAGCACAAGCTCCAGATGCGCAGGCTCAGTAGCTGTGGCTCACGGGCCTAGCTGCTCCGCGGTATGTGGGATCTTCCCAGACCAGGGCTCGAACCCGTGTCCCCTGCATCGGCAGGCGGACTCTCAACCACTGCGCCACCAGGGAAGCCCAATCATAATGATTTTTAAATTTTATTAAAACAATTGAGAGGATGAAAATTAAGAGAAGAATTAGATACTTACACCACTGGAAAGGAACTGAGCATACTTTACATGAGGTGAATCAATCTTTTCTAGAGATGATCAGCGTTATTTATCATTCTGTGGAATAAAGACAGAAAATTCAGAAATAGTTTTTAATCAAGTATTGAACAAAAATTTTAATTATATACTTAAGGATTAACAGTTAACATCAGATAATCATGTTTTTAAAATTATTTTGTAATTCTGAAAGAAAACATTGGTTTGAAGGAAAATTTTAAAAATAGAAAAATGCTTTTGATAGCTTTCAAAATCATTCACTTGGAAAAAGTAATGAAAATCATACCCCTGAAGCTTAATCTGTTACCAGACACCACTGAGGGAAACAGATTTAAACATGCAATGGAATATATATATATACACACACACACTGTAGTGACATTCAAGATAACTTGTTGATAATAACATCAGTGCATTTATGTAGAATCCTATAAACAAAAAAACACACCACAGCATGATTGCAGCTAACAGTCTTAACTGTGGGGTAAATCCTGGGGTCTAGTTCCAAGTCTATTACTTATTTTACTGCTAGCCAAATCTTCAGTGACTGAATTTCTCTAAGTCTCAATCCCCGCATCTATAAAACAGGGATAATAGATAACTACTTCAAAACGCTACAAGAATTTAAAACATTTTTTAAATGGTGGTGATGAAGCACTTCACAAACTATCAAGGAGCAGAGACTATTAATACCAGTTTAAAAAAGACACCAATACCCATGCCGATTCCTGAACAGAGTGTAAGTTAATAATGGAGTGAGTCTAGTACTTCTATCTTCTGATTAGCATGCTACTGCTTTATTCAGCATTCAGACACCGTGACCCCTTTCAATTCAGACATAGATCTGAACAAAAAGTGAAATCTACCATTAACAGTTTAGGAGCTAAAGATCATGTATTACTGACTGAGCTTATTAGCAGTTTCAAACCATAATCTATAGAGGCAGCTATTTCCATGAACTCAAAGTTAATATTATAAATTAGACGAAAGTTAAAAATGTTGATGTCAAAAATTCTCTCATTAAAATACACATTCAGCACTGAATTATATAAAGCAAGACCAAAGTGTCTAACAATGACTAATGATATATGTGAAATGTACAGGGTAAAGTTAGAAACCCTTCATATTTCATATCCTAAATTGTAGCTTTAATGAAGTTCCTGCTGTAGTTAATTTTATTGCTGACTTAAGAAACACTGGTCCTAAAAGGTAGATATAAAATACAAAAATATTGTTGATTACATTTCCTAGACAAAATAGCAACACCAAGCCACAAAACTGATTACTGGTCAATACACGTTTTTTCCACTCTTGCTCAAATGCAGTTAAAATACACTAAGTACTTACTTGCCCTGACATAGGCACAAGGTCATAATATGAGTAAGATATGGTCCCAGCAGTGTAGAGCCTTATTAAACTATGGGGAAGGGTCAAATAAAAATCACACACACACACATCCTTCTAATAAAAGGCATAATGTGATAAGTCTAAAAATTCAAGGTCTATGAGGATAACAATTTAGAAATTAATTTAGGTCACAGAGAACTGGGAAGACTTCTTCAAGTGAGATCTCAGCTGTTATCTGAAGTTTAGAGTAAGACTTCCACCAAAACAAAGTGTGAAGGGAGGTTAGAATCAGTGGAGAAAAGAATCAGTGAGAAGGAACAATTAAAAGATTATGAAGGATGATTAGGGAATAAGTAGACCTGTGTTGTTGGCCTTTAACAAGTATGTATGAGAAGACAGGTAGAAAGGGAGGACTTCCACTATCTATGGAGGGCTGGTAAATGCCTTGCAGTAATTCTGACCTTTATTCTGTAAGTATGCGAATGATGCTACAGCTGAATCAGACAATCTAGGAAGTTAATCACTAAAGACCCTCATTTCACAGATGAGGAAACTGAGATTAAGACACTGATACAGACCTGTATAACTGCAAATCACTGAATTCATGTCATTTATATTTCAGATATAAATGGGCTCAAAATATTCTATAAAAATAAAATATTCTAAGAACAGAAGACCAAGCAAGCAAGGTGCTATGAGTTCTCTACTCTCAGGTTCAACGTCACAGAGCCCTCCTAGCATAGGAGACATATTTTTTTTAAACTGACAGATTAAAAATTATATTAAAATCACACCCATTAGAACGGCTATAATCAAGAAACAGAAGATAAAAAGGATTGGCACAGATGTGGATAAAATAAAAGCTTTGTGTGCTGCCGATGAAAATGTAAAATGGTGGTGCCACTATGGAAAATACAATAGTATGGCAGTTCCACAAAACGATTAAACACAGATTACCATAAGATCCGCAATTCTACTTCTGGGTGTATACCCAGAAGAAGTGAAAGCAGGGACTCGAAAATATATTTGTACACCCAAGTTTATAGCAGCATATTCACAAAAGCCAAAAGGTGGTAACAAACTCAAATGTCCATCGATGGATGAATGGCTAAACAAAATGTGGTACACACATAACATATAAGGGAATATTATTCAGCCTTAAAAAACAAGGAAATTCTGACATAGTAACATGGATGAACCCTGAAGGCATTACACTAAGTGAAACAAGACAGTCACAAAAGGTCAAATACTGTATAATTCCACTTTTAAGAGGTATTTAGAGTCATCAAATTCAAATAGAAAGTAGAATTGTGCTTGAATGGGGCTGTGGAAGGGGGAGTTATTGTTTAATGGTACAAAGTTTCAGTTTGGGAAGATAAAAAAGTTCTAGAGATGGATGACAGTGATGGTTGTACAACAATGTTTACTGTGCTTAATGTCACTGAACTGTATGCTTAAAAATGGTTAAAATGGTAAATTTTATATTATGTATATTTTATTACTGCAAAAAGTAGAGTGTTATAATAAAAGAAAATATACATTAAAAGGTATCAGGGATAAAAGTTCGTGGATGCTGAATTATATTTAAGCACCCAGCTATAAAAAGCAAGTAAGTTATAAAAGATAAAAAAATCAGCTCCTCACTGGACTTCTAATCTGTTACACTTTAAGAAAAGAGAAAGCAAGAGTTGAATAACATTCACAGGGGACAGAGAGAAAGAATTCTATACCAACAAAACTTACACTTTGATATATGAAAAAAATTACAAATATGCAAGAATTGAGAGAATATATTTTCTCAGTTACCCCAACTGAGAAAAATAATTGAGAAAGGGTTCTAAATAAGAAAAAATAAACCAGAACAGAGACATGGTAACATGGAAGATGATGAGAAAGGGTAATATAAGCAACAAATCTTTCAGTTTATATCATGTAATATACATTTAGATAATGACCGAATATCTAAGAATGTATAACTTACATGATAAATAAGGACTCTTGAAACAAAGGACTTTATCCCCAAAGAAATTTTAATAGATATCTATTCAAGATGTACTAAACTATCTATTCAAAGTAAAAGAGTTATAGGCAGGGGAGATGGAGGGAGGCAGAAGTAAAACTACTCCCAAGATCTGAAAGAAGAGAACGAGGGGAAAACAGAAGAGAGGCAGAAAATAAAAGTACTCTAAAGGTCTCATCTTTTCACGGTCAAGAAGACACCTGGGAGAAAAATGCGCATCTTTTTGGGGAAAATAGTATTTTGTTTTAATTTATTTTGTTCTCTGCAAAAAAATGCAGAGAAACATGTATCAATCGAGTTATAATTTCAAGGTCAAAAGTACTGAGTGGGGACTTCCCTGGTGGCGCAGTGGGTAGGAATCCACCTGCCAATGCAGGGTACATGGGTTCGAGCCCTGGTCTGGGAAGATTCCACATGCCACGGAGCAACTAAGCCTGTGTGCCACAACTACTAAGCCTGCACTCTAGAGCCCGCGCGCCTAGAGCCTGTGCTCCGCAACAAGAGAAGCCACCGCAGTGAGAAGCCTGTACACCGAAACAAAGAGTAGCCCCTGCTTGCTGCAACTAGAGAAAGCCCATGCGCAGCGAGGACCCAATGCAGCCAAATACATAAATTAATTAAATAAATCTGTGTTAAAAAAAAGTATCGAGTAGGATAAAGAGTATACAATTGTAAAATATACAGTTTATGACCAATATGAGTTATAAACTTGTATATAACAAAGCAGGTAATAAAGCAAAACTTTTTAGAACTTTAATAATTTTATTTTTAAAGATACAAATACACTCACTGATGTGTATAAAATTGTTGACGTGGGCTTCCCTGGTGGTGCAGTGGTTGTTGAGAGTCCGCCTGCCAATGCAGGGGACACGGGTTCATGCCCCGGTCTGGGAAGATCCCACATGCCGCGGAGCGGCTGGGCCCATGAGCCATGGCCGCTGAGCCTGTGCGTCGGGAGCCTGTGCTCCACAACGGGAGGGGCCGCAACAGTGAGAGGCCCCCGTACCGGAAAAAAAAAAAAAAAAAAGGAAAATAAGACAAAGCTAAGAAAATACAAATGCAATTTCTTGGCAATTCATTTGAAAACTGAAGAGAAAAATGTTTTCCTAGTGAAAATATCAAAATTGACCCAAGAGAAATGAATTGAGTAGAACTAAATAGCACGAATTAAAGGTAATTAAAAATCTACCAAAGGAGGAGGAACTGAGATGGCAGAGTAGAAGGATGTGCTCTCACTCGCTCTTGTGAGAACATGAGAATCACAACTAGCTCCTGGACAATCATCGACAGGAAGACACTGGAACTCACCAAGAAAGATACCCCACATCCAAAGACAAAGGAGAAGCCACAACGAGACGGTAGGAGGGGTGCAATCACAGTAAAATCAAATCCCGTAACTGCTGGGTGGGTGACTCACAGACTGGAGAACACTTATACCACAGAAGTCCACCAACTGGAGGAGTGAAGGTTCTGAGCCCCAGGCTTCCCAACCTGGGGGTCCAGCAATGGGAGGAGGAATTGCTAGAGAACCAGACTTTGAAGCCTAGTAGTATTTGACTACAGGACTTCGACAGGACTGGGGGAAACAGAGACTCCACTCTTGGAGGGCACACACAAAGTAGTGTGCGCATCGGGACCCAGGGGAAGGAGCAGTGTCCCCAGGGGAGGCTGAACCAGACCTAACTGTTAGTGT